TGCGTGTGTGTGTTTGTAGGCGGAAATTTGCATAACGGAGAACGGTTCACTGTAAAGCCCTCACTAGGTTAAATTTAAACCCTCTTTTCTTCAAACATACACTAATTTTTGGGGTCGCCTTGCCAGCCAGACTCAAAGAGTCACTCTGATTTCAACGTCACCTTTCTCCCAGTCTCCTAAAACTAGTCCATATGAAGAATTTTCACGTATTCTTTTCTGAGATGAGAATGAAAGATAGAGCCTCAGTGCAAGAAATAGCGTCTTACTCGTGTCATCACTTTAAGATTCCACTTCCCTTTATTTGATATACTATGAGTGAATAAAGTGTTTTATCAATACAGAATTTATAATAAATACCTTTGTAGTTGAAAAAAGCAAAGACCTATCCAGTCCTACACTACAAAAACTATTGCGAAATTAAAAAATATTATAAACTCAAAGGTAGTTAATAAATTTTATTCTTTTCTTTCAAATCATTTTGCTCCTCGATCCAATTAAGAGGATGAGAAAAATGTTCACATTGCAATCGCTTCTCAATTATAAACTGTCTCTTTAGCGGAAACAAAGTCGGACAATCTGTTATTGTTTTCTTTCCTTCCTTCCGTATGCTTAATGTCAGCACATCCCCTTGTTCCAAGTCAAGTGTTGTGATGCTCTTATTTCGCCATAGTCGAACGACAAGGCCCTTCACACTACTGTTCAACAAAGAACGCAAAAAAAAACAACCATCACACAAAGTACAATTTTCATATTTGATATAAGAATTACAAAGTTCATATGGAGATTCGCCTCTCATAACCCATAATTGTACACCACAATGACGAAAAGGTGGAAAAAGGAAGAGGAACAAAAAAAACACTCATTTCTTATAGTCTGGCATACCTATAACCCTCTTTTTCCTTCTTTTTTTACAGATGGGAAAGAACAGGCATTTGTTTTATGGCGTGAGAGATACTTCCTTATTTACCACAATTACGTGTTGTCTCTTCTCCCTTATGAGGTAAATCCAGACAGGTGGGGCATTTCTCACTGTAGAAGCACAGTTCATGCAGGTGATAAGAGCATTTTGGTAGGACCGCCTTACAAGAGGTATTTGTAACACTGGATTGGGTGTGGGAGCCACCTCAACAATGTCATCTTGATCACTTGACTTCCCGGTATCGGTCACCTCCACCGGTTCACAGGATGCTGCTAAATTAATAAACTCATTCACCCAACACAGCACTGCCAGAGGAATTTGACTCCAATGGAAAAATTTTTTGGCTCGCATATTTGTCTTGTAGTACATTTTTGGAGGCCAACAACTACTCGCGGCCCACATCTGATAATTGGTCACATATTCAAGATAGTTGATCGGATCGAGCTCCGCCACTGAGGTGAGAGCTAAGCGATCGTTAAAAGGCGAGAGGAGACACAGAAAAGTGTGACCAGCATTGAGAAATACTTTTTGTAACAATTCGGGTTGATATGGCACTCTCGAGGCTATCCATTTGTCTGAGTTGGCGGTGTAACTAATCGGCAACACAGTCTCCTCACTCTTGTCCTCTGGTTTGGCTTTTTGGTGTCGTCTAGGTGTGAGTAAATTGTAGGCAGATGGTGGTGCATCAAATAGGCGAAGGAAGTGGGCATTAAAGATTTCGAGGAAATGTTGTGATCCACCCATCATACAGAGTCGATCAATGTCGTAGGAGGTAAAGCACAAAGGTCGTAGGAGGTCAAGTAATTTTGTGTCTTCTTTACTCTCCCCTTCCAGCCTACCTCGCAGTTCGATCATCTCCAAGTCCAGCAGTTTTCCTTCCTCATTTGTATCCTTAAAGAAAAAAAAAATGACGAGGTAGACACAGTCGAGTGGATCCGTTTCCTTTGACCTCCCTCATTAGTCCCTTATGAGGTCAGAGTGGTGTTTTCTCCACCTCGTCTGGACGAGAATTCTTCCTTCCGGACACTGTGTGCCTAATTTGACTACGCGTCCATAATTAATTTGGTGCATTAAAACAACTAAGTTGGTGCAAATTGTGCCACCTTTGAAAGAGCTTATCCACAAGCAATGATTGCCATGTAGCCCTCAAATCGAATTTCTGTACGCGCTTTGTTTGGTGTATGAAAAAACACTTCACTTGAAGCTAATGTCTTATTTGTTTTATTGTGTAGTGTGTTAAATGCAGTTTATTAAGGAAGAATTTGTTTATTTTAAGGATAATTTTGTTAATTTTGGAGTTGAGTCTACCACTGAAGGTGGAAGTGTAACGGCAGTCTCATCGCATACTATTGGAGTGGTAAAGTGGAGACGAGGTGGTGGCAGACGACACAGTGGACAGACGCTGGTTGTAATAAAGTTAATATGTAAAGCAAAAAAAGTGGGTTCAAATTTTGTCTAATACTTGAAAACTGCGTTTTTAAATTGATGAGAAAAGAGGGAAAGCATGAAGGAAGAGGAGAGAAAATCGCCTTTTTTGTCTGGCATAGGAAGTTCGGAGGTGGAGAGACGATTAACTGTTGCAATTTGTTGATGAAGTGAGACAAGGGAAAAAAGAGTAAGAAGATAAATTGAGAGTAGAAAATAAACATTAAAAGAGGACACCGGGTTCCATTTTCTGCGTTATAGAGAGGTGGAGGCGAATTGACTCTCTCACCGGGATCCACTCGACCGGTGGTGTCACTAAGAAATGTGCTAACTTTGGGTGCCGTTGGAAGTACCAGACTTTCATAATGGACGATCTAGCATCATTACTTCGGAGTCACCCGATCATCGAAAACGAGGTGTTACAAAAATATCAACACCTACTTAGATACGGTTGTAGAGGTGGAGCATGGAAAATGAGGTCTTCACATTGCATTTTACTTTCTCTGGATCAAACCGAAGCGATACATAAACCGACAGGAGCAGAGAATTCAGATCTGTGGATAGCGGCAATGATGGGGAGAGGAGTGAAGTAGTGAATCTAAGGCTAATGAGAGGCTTTAATACAGAGTGGACAAGAGAGTGATTGAGTGGTTGAGATCTTTAGAGGTTGTTGCACCAATCCATTCTGATGCAATGTTGATAGCTTAAACACATGTATCTATTTGAGAGCAAAAAAATCTTATGTGTTTACCATTGTTATAAGTGAATCCTAAAATTTCAATTCGTAAAAATAAGTTGATGTTTTCAGACATACGAGCAAAGTAGAGAAAGGGCTGAAAAATGGAGAATGCGTTCTTAAAAGGGAACTATTTTCACAGGGCGTGACGGAAACAGTGTCGTGCGCTTCAATCTCCTCTTTGCAACCATTAAGCCTACCCCATCAGGAAATGAGTGTCTAAGATTGCCTACGGCAGCTCTAGGGAAAGCTAAACGATACAAAAACTTGACGCAATACCATTCATCTTAAGGGAACAGTTAAAACGGCATTTAGCACATTGAAAAATATATGTTTCTTTTTTGTCCCAATGATTCTCATTTTTCGATGGGAGAATGATACAGTGTTAATCCGCGATACCGGATCGTCCTTCGAGGCGCAGTACTGGCAGCAAAGATAGGCTCAGATCATTAAAGAAACGACCCAAAAATCGCTAATTGAGAGTGAGAGGTATAATTACCTCCTCTAAGATCAAAGCCGTCCTCCAAGCAAGGAAGGAGGAAAGAGTGGGATGTTCGTAGCATTATCTTTTCGCAACGAGAGAGTGTGTACGTGTGTGTGTTGTATCAACCTCGTTAATGAGAAAATCCTAGCAGTGCCAAAAGTAATAAAAGTCCCGATTAATCCAACCAATCGCAACACACTTAAAAAGACGGTCCGAGAGCACAGAGACCCACCTTCCTGCAGGGCATCCATCTGGCAGAGGGGATGAAACTGAGAGTCAGTCTAAGATCAGTTCATCCGCCTTGCGGTCAATTTACCTTCATCACCGATGCAGTAATTTGACGACGTGATTAGTGATTGTTAAAACGTGTCTTTAGCGTTGTCGCTCCCTCTCTCTCTCGCTCTAACAGAAATTATTATTTGAAGGGGTAGAGAGGGAACATTCCTCCACCGAAGACCATGCAATGGATCAAATCGTAGATTTGTGCCTATTTAACTGCACACATTTTACTGCCTCTATTGACCATGTGATTCTGCTGTACCATAACCCTGGGGGCCATGCCAATGGTAATCTGCCCCGACCTGCTTGTCCACCTCACTCCATAAGGGTAATTAACTACTGCTCCATAAAGGGTAACTTTAAAAAAATGCACCACAAAAGTTTAATGGTTCATAAAATTGAGATCCTAGTTAAAAGCAAATGCGAAAAAGTGCAACAGTTTTTTTGAAAGTCGCCGTAGAATGGCGAAACAATGCAATTCATTTTAATTACCCATAATATTTGTTTAAGTGTGTGCATGGGAAGTGCTTAAAATTGAATTTTTAATTCATAACATAAAAGAGTGATTTAGGTCTACGTAGAACAAGGCAGTGAATACGCAAAACAGTCCGAAGTTTAAATGGTGCTTACAAATAGCAGCAGAGTTTAAACAACTTGTGGTCTGCTTTTCCTCCAGATTACACGCCACCACTGAAAAATTTGACATCACCACCACGATTACCTTAGCATATAGGAGGCAGCCCTCGTGAACCGTTAATTCCACCTGTGGAATGCCTGTTGTGACATTTTAGTGAAGGCCACTTCATTCCTCGAGTCATTATCTTCCTACTAATGGAATTGTCGATTTAATGTAACCACTTTGAACTGTTTTGGATATATTGTATTTTCAACTGTCAGAGCACTGTGATTCATACCCTTTTATGTGTAAATCCGAGGCAAAATCTAGTATCAGTATTGCAAATGGCGGCAACACTTTATGCTCCATCTACTGATAAAGATTTTAAGTAGGAGAGCTTATGCTTTGCGTAATTTTCTGCATATTTGTCAAAAAAATGGCAACTTCTTTGCGTGATTATGAGTCTCGGTGACACAACTTACAAGCTCTTTTTCAAAAACCAGTAGTCCCTTGTCGTATGGGCTGCTGTAGATATTTAAAAAAGCTGTCAATTGCCAGCCAATGAGGGAGAGCACTCCAATTAATCGTCCCATCATGTACTGTGCCGCCAAAAGATTGTCCTTGTTCCACTCAGGAATGCAGAACGGTGTTCCATTGAGTTTTACCTCAGTGAAGTGAAGCTCGTCTGCACAATCAGACGACTCGTCCTCTCCAAGTTGACGGTCAGGATGGACAAAGGAGACTTGTTCTTCACTAGCCACACCAGAGATCCACAATTGTTGAAGCAGTTGAGACATCCACGTGGAAAAGGCAGGTGTTCCACCGTATATGCGAAAGGTGTTTTGGTGACACATGGAGAAGCAAATGCGGACAATGTTCTTTCTCGTGGTATTGGACACTTCCGGCTTGACAAAAAATAGGGTGTCCAAGAGACCGCGAATATTAGCTCTACACTCAAATATGAATCCATCACAGTTCAACACGTCGAGAAGTGCCAGCATGATGTAGGGAGTCAGGTCTGAGTATTCCTTGTAGGAGTCCCAAGGGTGGCCTTCAAATTCAATCAGAAAGGAGGATAGGCTATCGGGGTCTGAATCTACCAAAAGGCCTTTCTTCTTATTTGTGCCCTCTGGAGTCGCAGTGTCCCTTATTCTGCGAAACGCGACTTTTTGAGGCCAAAGCTAAAAGAAGAGTGGCAAAAGAAGAGGCCTGTATTCAATTTCCAAGATCCCTCCAAGTTGTTGATTCTGTGGTATGACGAAATGTGCAGTAAAATATCGCCAGCATAGTGCTGGGGACAAATACACTTTAACCAGTTCCTAGGTCAGTTTTAACGATAATGCGTGCGTTGTCAAAAGGAGCACAGTGTAGGAGGAGCTCTTGATGAGGGAGCCAAAATTGAGAGCAATCACAGGATAAGATCTATTAAAGCTAATTCCATATAGGATGAACAGTTACTCCTTCCTTCTTACAAATGGAAACTATAAATGGCATTACAGAGTAATTATTGCTTCAAAATGCTTCTACTTTCAAATTCATTTGATTGTTTTCCTTACCATTACACATACAGTTTAACCATACCTAAAAATATTTTAAAGGGTTGCATTTAAGGCACTTTTATGAGGAAGACAAAAGACAAGAGTTAAATTACAGAACGATTGGTTCCAGACGCCTTCGTGTAACAGCTCTGCGGAGATGCGTTTCACTTAATTCAAACTAATACGCGGGTTTGAGCAGAAAGAAAATAAACTTTTGGTAGAATTCCTATATGGTTATTAAAATTTGGACCGTAATGCTTTGGTTATGTGAATATCTGACGTTTGGCGGTCACTTTAGGATTTGCCTGCTCTTGTACTCGTGGGCTGGCCTCCGGGCAACGCCCAAACTCATTTGTTTTGTCTTCTTTGGAATACATTGTAGCCTCCCGAAGCTTCCAACGGGATAGTAGAAGGCATAAGTGAGGTTGAATACATGTATTCCGAAGACAACAGGAGAAATGGGGCCTGAGCGTGGCCCGAAGGCCAGCCCACGTGTACAGGGTCCAGATAAATTCTAAAGTGACTGCCAAACGTGAGGTGGTCACATAAACAAAGCATTACATACATATGTCCAGCTTTACTTACTGCCTTCTTCTACCGGGTAGGAAGTCTTGGGACGCTGCAGGTACAAAAAACAATTTTTAAACCGACTAGTAAGCCAAGCTAATATTTTGGCCAATGTCCAAGACGCTGTTGACAGAGTCGTAATTCACAGAATTAACTTTAATTAATTAACTATAAATATAAAAATTGATAAAATTTAGCTTTTGAAGTTTATAACTACTTGCATTTACATTCATCTGAGCACACACTTCATGTGCTCGTTTCAAATTCGCGTGCGTCGTAATGCGCTCATTCGGAAACTGATCGATAACTCGTGGGAAAACTACAGTTAACATGTGTAGTTGGTGGGATGGCATGTTGCTGAGGTCTGCGTAGTCCGTGTTGATGTGAAGGTTGAGAAAATTTACAATTTTCGCTTTTGTCTAAGTCTTGCGATTTTGTTTTCCCTAATTGCTACGTGCTGTTGAGTCCGAAAACCTTTAACTCTACGTAGGCTTATTTGAAGCACTGGGAATTAGTTGGATTAGGGTGGGAAGACCTAATGAATTTTACGCTCTCAAGCTACTTCTTGCTTGCCTTAATTACTTATGTTAGCAATAAGCGGATTAATTTTAATGGCAATGTTGCAATTGTGCGGAGTTTATTCAATCGGGATACGAGTGACTTAAACTGCACTATCTTGTTTTTCATCTTGCCTTCAAAGTTGTGATTGCTCGCTCCTCCACCTCCTGGTAAGTAATCAACATCTAAACGCTTCTTGCCTTTCAGTGGATTGTAATTAATTTCGAACAATTCACGGCATCCAGGTTGGACGTGGACTTGATAGGAAACTGGCTGGCGGGGAAAAAGTGGGCTCTATAAGTGAAGGCTAGTTACTGGCATGTGTCCAAAGCAGAAACTATTAGGTTTTTTTGGCTTCGGACTGTTACCATGCGGGTATTGCAAAATGTAAACACGAAAGCAGTAACCTTCTGTTCCTATATTGTCAACATATCACGTCCCGATGGAATGTCAGCTTGAAGGTCACAAACTTCTACCGCATGTTTTTGTGCATGATGCTAAGATAAAGGTTCGCATTGACGCTTAATATTAAAACCCTTTTTTAATGGAAATCCACCCTGTCTACAGCCATGGCGACGCCTTCATTTCCCGGATAGGTTGGTAGTTCATTTAGACTGTTTGAAATACTATGACTGGGAGGATCATAATTACTCTGTATCTTTGGTAAGCATGTCCCGAACCAATTGAAAAGTCAAGTCTTTTAGCTCATTTCTGTCGTCGAGGTATGATATACATGTTGAAGTCTCTGTCTCCTTTACTACGTATGAAGTGGGGTATGATTGCCGTTGCGAATGTCACGCCAAATCAAAACGTATAGGGCTTCACAATGCCTGTTGCCCACTAAGGATCAAAGTATGTCCTCTTGGATAGTAGCAAGATGTCATCACATCGCCTGTTTCATTTTGCAGATCGAGTGCGATCTCAATGAGTTGATCATTTAATCGAAGCATTTAGAGGAGTGAAAATTCAATTCCTCCTCTCTTTAATGTAACCCAGAAGGAATTGAGTGTGAATGACTGATAAAAGCTAATTCTGGGCCACCCTCTACGCTAGTGTTAGCGCGAAAGGTAATTTTCTCTTCAGTCCCAAAAATTTCATTCCGCAGCATATTTATCTGAAGCACTAAGAAAAATGATAATGTGAAGTATTTTTGGCCAAGATTGTGATAGATTTTGGCGCCATTTTTTATAAAAGAGCGACCGGGACGAAGGAGGATCTTTTTCAAATATGCGGCTTTATTTGACACAAAAAATGTGCTCCGTGGCATGATTTTTGAAAATATTGTTATAGCCTTAGATATTCCATTGTTAAGTAACTCCAATGGGTAGAAAATCAAACTAAAAGGTCGTGATTTTCAATCCTTTTAAATGCAGCTCATTTTGACCTCCTACAGTCAACCACTTTGGTGCAAATTTTCCTAAGTAAATGCAGATATTTGTCTGAGGAAAGTGAACCAAAGATAGTAAAGTAATCCATGGCTACCTCTAATAAGTCATAAAAACATTGAAAACCTTATGAAATTTCCCTCTCACTTCTCAAAATTACTCCCACTATGGCTCTTTTGATAGTAATGGGCACTACTTTTGGGAAATGCCTTCATAAAGAACAAAACGATGCACATCCCTTACAATCGTCACTATCATATTTAGCGAAAACTACTTGTTTAATTTTTCATGAATTGAAGTTGATGAAAAGCATATGACAAGTTTAATATTTTGTGCATCGTGTTTATTTGGACCAAAAAGAAAGGTGACAAAAGCACCCGGTCAAATTGAAGTTGCCATGATATTGACTTTCATCTATTTTTCTTAAACGTTAAGACTACTGCCGATTAGCAAAAATAGATGGAAATGAAATTATTATTCTAATAAGTCCATTGAATTTGTGGCTACTAACGCTATTCAGTTCTACGCTCCGTGGACCTGTGCTACAGAGCAACTGTTTGCCCTCTTCCACACTTGAGGGTAGACACCTCCTACCTGACTAATTGCGAAGATGTTTGGGGTTGTATTAACGCTATGCAGGCAATTCTGGCGGCATTTGCGTTTCCCTCTTTGGTTGCTTTGTCTATTATAGGTTCAATGCAATCAACGCCATTCTCTTCTATCGAGACAAATAAGTGGCGCTTTAAATCAAACTGGACATAAAGAGTCATTCTCAGGCAGCTAATTTCATCTACAATTGGATACTTTGCAAATAGGAAAGTAATTTTGTCATTTCGCTGATTGTAAACACAAAACAATCTAATTATGTGAAGGTGAAGTCGGAGCTCCCGATTCCATAAATGTTTAGTGCTTTATGCCATTTGAGATCATTTACAACGAAACATGAAATATTGTCTTTCAAATTCAAATAAGAATTAAGCATTGCATGCCCTCCTTTTTTCAGCCCAATTCTTTTACGCATTTAAAAACGAAGAAAGTCAGCTTACCTTCTGCAGCTCTTTAATCAATCGTGAGACTAATTTTTGTGTGAAGTTCATGCAGTACAGTCGATTCCAGCCCTCTAGACCGACAACCAGCATCTGCTTTGAGGGATTATAATTCAGTGCTCTTGAACGCCGTAAAGTGCGCACTTTCGAAGTCATGGGTCGGTGTATATGACAGTCTCCCACTAGTTTGCCAAGACTGCCTGTCCGTTGATTGTCCACCTGACATCTGAAGAGGCAGGTGCTAGCCTCCGTTCCTCGAATAAAGTGGCCCGTTGAAACCATCTTGTAGTCTATGGAGTAGAGATAGGCGATCATCATCATGGCGAAGTAGTAGGCGGTTTCAGCCACCTCTGCAGGTTGATGGATTGGCGAAAGTGTAAAGGGTTCCATGGGAACTCGAAAAACCGTATTTCGTAAGGGAGGATGTAGCTGAACATCGCTGCTTGCATGAGCCTTAACTTGGACATTGCAATGCCGCTCGTGATTATCTAAATGCGGCCAAATTTGACACATCAGGGAACGGAGAAATTGGATAAAGTGTGGTGGACCCTGACATACCCACAGTTCATCTGTCGGTCTAAAAGTCACAGCGATATAATTGGGAGGAAAAGGTGTGAGAAACGAATGACAGCTTCCCATCTCTAATTACACTATGATTATTGCTTCTGAAAGAGCATTTTTACAAGACGGAAGGTTATTTTTTTTTGGCGCGACTTATCCAGGACTACACTCTTGTTTTGGTGTTGAATATATAGGCAAAATTTGCCCGCTCGAGCTGACAAAGGTACATACTATTGCACGCTTACCGTGTTAACCAGTTGGGCGCGTCCGCCAATGGGAAGGCGGCAACAAAACCGTCCATCAGCCAATAAGAATGCAGTACAATAATCCACGTGACTTTCACTCTAAAATGTCTTTACGCAAGTCTCAAAAAAGACATATTTCCCACAAGTAATCAAGGCATCCTCATTTACCAAACTAATTTGATTGCTTAACATTGTAATTTACAAGACAAGTTTGTAACTGAATAAAAAAAACAGTGTACAGCTGTTCGACTGCTTTTTTTCGGACTTAAATTGACTTCCACGACATGAAGCAAAGTAGTTCTACTTATTTTACCCTTAATACTTGTAACCTCTGCAAAGCTTATTAGAGCGTAAAATTTACTGTAATTTTACTTAAGAATTAATTTAATACACACAGAATACATTGCTTTAATAAGCAATAAATAGATATGTGTGAGGCAACAAATTTGAACGCCTTTAGCTTTTCTAACGCGGCTTAGACTATTCAAAACTTTCTGCGTGCTTTGTTCCACTAGGCTTGTGCACTTCTTTAGCAAAGAATAAGGTCTAAAACACTCCATTTCTGCATAAAATCAAAAGGTTACATGTCAAACTGTTTGGCTTGCAAAAACAGTAAAAAATAGTTAAAAATAATCAGTTTTCTTCAGAAAGACTTCTAGAACTTGACAGAGAGAAGCGAGGAAAGATTGGCAGGAAATAAGGAAGGTAAAAGGAATCTTCTTTTTCTGATGTCTTGCAATCCTTAAAGTCCCTTTAAAATCGTCAACCATGACAACTTTATAGGAGGATCCAAGCGAAAGTAAAAGAAGGGCACATTCAAGGCAAATTGCGGAAGATATTTAAGGCTTAATTTCTAAAGTTGCACTAACTCTGGAATTTCAACAATGGAATATGTGGCGCATCAAATTGTCTAAGGCTAAAATCACAACATTCAAATGAATTTAATTTCAACAAATTTTGTCTTCTTACACGCACTAAGCAAGAATTTTATTTCTGCATGATTGAATGTCGGAATTGTGGCATTCTGTATTATTCTTGTAGTGTCTAACGCCTTTGATTTTTGCTTTTCCGAGACTTGAAAGCTTCCTTCCGTTTTATAACTTGTTTAAAGTCAGTCGATACTTCTCTTACCACACATATTGGGTAGGGACGTATCACAACCACTGCAGCCGGAGTTTTATGCTTCTTCAACCCCAACTGCCTAATCAACATTGATAAAATGACCTCACCTATCTATGCGTACTTACAAATTGGTGAATCGAGGCTTAATAACTCGTGAAAATGGGACAATCAGGTAGATTTCAATACCTTTTTTAAGAATCTGAGGTAAATGATTGGACAGAGGTCACTATAAGGGTAAATTGTCACTTAAATACCAGCAAAATTTAAAACAAATCTAAACTAAAGATATGTTGGAGGCAAATACTTGACAATTGACGTACATATGGAGGCCTAGAAATATTCTTTTTTGCTTATTTTCCCATATGGACAATTGAAAAGACGCACAAGGTAAAGGAAATATTTATGCCATTTTTGAATACTTGAAAGAAACCTGTTACAAAAACATGTTTTATCAAAAAATCGCCCTACTACACTAACAGTGCTACCCTAAAACATTTATTTGGTCATTTTCTTAATCATTTTAGACCAAAATTGTTTACTCACGCTTTATTAGGTGTTTGACTTGTGACGTTAACACCTTCCGTGTTCTCCAACCATTTTATTGCAAATCCAGAAGAAAGCTTAGCCTTAACAGAAACGGAGGAAATAATCATTCAGACTGTAATCGAATTCGTCTAAGTAGAGACCAAACTCAGAACCTTTAGCACAGGAGCGCACGACAAACACGCCACTTTCATTAGAAGTTTCCCTTTCACATTTTAGACTTCTGGAAATTGTGGTAAGATACATTATAACTCAAATTGGAGTATTGGATTAAATTTTTTAGGGTTGTAGAGATTAAACCAAACTACTTGATAATGGATCGTACAAAATACAGTTTTTGATTTGTAAGACTTATGAACTCATGAAGAAAATTTATACAACCCAAAAGTACGACAAATTGGACTGGACTCAATGACGTCCAGAATTTTGACCGAAAATAAGTGGATAGATTATTAAAACAAACGCAAATTCTCTGATCAACTAGAGTTAACTAATATCAACCGATATAAGTCGGGTTCAAAATCGAATTTCTTGCTGCAATTCAAAATCATTTTCGGTAGGTAATAATGCAGTCGCTTCGTAATTAATGTTTGTAAAAATTTATGAGAAATTTTATGAATTGTAACCATTTCTATTCTCATCGTCATGTACAGCATAAAAAGAAATTTTAGCTAGAATTTATGGGTCGTAAACTTATGCAAATATATACATGCATACATAGTGTAAAGTATTCTTAACTTTCCAGTACATTATGATCATAAATTTACGTAAGACTTGGCCTTGATTTTGAGAAAATGAGAGCACTGTGTAGTCACTTTTTCATTTCGTTCGAGGCAAGTCGAGGATAGCGTTCCGAACTTGAAGTGTTTACGGCTTAAGCCTAATCAATGAAGAAAAACTACGACTAAAAGTTAAATATCTCAACTGATGTCCTACGTCTCCTCTTCCTTCTGACCACTTTCCATTATCATAACGGAGTAATCACGTGTTTTCAACCAATTGCAGGCGATGCGCTAACTGATTTATACCTCCGCATCAATTTGGCGAATTTTGAAAGCTAAATAAATGGACGAAAATTTGACTATTAATGTTGATTTGATCGCTTTCCTCAAAAACATGCTAAATTCAACATTAAACAACCTCCACTGTTTCGCAAATCCGTGTAAACGATAAAGGATTTGCTCTTGATCTTTTAAGCTTTGCCGTGACCAATCTTTCAGGTGTCTTTGCGTAAGTCTTCTCTCTACCTATCTCAAACTAATATCCTTATTGGTTGACTGGATGGGTGATTAAATTATCAATGAGGTGCCATTTCTCAGTCATCATTGCGTGCAGGCGAGCAGCAAAGATGGAGCTCCAAGGTCTGATTAATCAGCATTTGTTTACCCAGGCTATTTTAAAAGCCTTTGGCGTGCAAAAGGCACACGAAATAGCAGACTATAGTCGCATCAGCTCTTCGAATTAAGGTTGTTGCATCTCTCGCATCACAGCAGGCTTGCTACACTAGTAAGGCAACAAGAAAATTATATGATTGGAATTTTCTCCCTGTGAAAGTAACTGAATAAATTATTCATGTAACAGTTTTTTTTACAGTCAAACCCCATGGGTGATAAAGTAGCTCCCATTGAAACGAGACTGCGCCTCGGACTGAAAAAGAATGCCTTACCGATCGGGAAGTGAATGGAAAAGTCTGTACACAGTACGGTGCCGCATGTGAAAGGAGAGGGTGGATAGTGGCTCTTCCGTGACCTTTCCTTCCTCGTCAGCAAGGGAACAATTCTAAGGCACAAGGAGTAGTAAGAACTGTCCATTACTCCGTAATCCATGCTAATCCCTTTGCAAGCATCCTATAGCTGTCCTCGATTCTCCCCAACTATTCCAATGCAACAGACAATTCTACACTTTAATCCCATCGGCTATCCCCACTCCAAGTACTTTGGCATAGATTGGATTTCATGCCACCAAGACATACCAATGCACACCGCTGCAAAAAACGTGATTTATTACTGGGATAAACAACGTGGAATTAGGGAGAGGAGGTTACCATTGGCTATGGAATAATAACTTCATCACATCAGTAAAACGATTGGCAAAAACAGCCTCTCACTCTACAGCAGCCAGTGGGACCACTTCCAACTGTGACGGCGGTCAGCTTCCTTCTTGTTCACTACTCCTCCTTTTTCGGCTCCAGACTTGACGATTTCACTCCCTCACCATCCGTGCGGAATGTCCACAAATTTGTTGTTTGCTGCTTTACTAAAATAGTTGATTTCAATAATACAGACAAATAATAATTCCAAATTATGGAAACACATTGGACTGCTCTGTTTTTGCATGCTTTGCAAACAAAAGGAAAAAGGAAATAAGAAATTAGATTAGGCCAGCAGTCCGACTTTTGTGTTTCTGAATAAGGTTAAAAATTCCTCTAAATTAATTTAACAACTGAAGGTAAACAATGTTGTTTGGGAATTGTTTTTTATAACTCTCATTTTTAAAATCCTTTTCATCATTTTATTCAGAGTGGAAGAGCGCGTCTTTAAAAAAGCCGCCATAAGCTTGACAATTTGTTAAAACCATTGAATTTGCAATTTGGCGTTCAAGGAGAAGGTAAATGAAAGAGTTTATGTTGCTACTTCCCCCCTCCTTTTGTCCTTTCACAGGCCAGTCAGGGAGGCTTCAGTAGGACAGGCCTTCGATACTGCGCCTAAACTTTTTTGACTCGCCGGTCATGTCACTCAGGATGTATAAACTCGTCCTCCACAGGTCGCATGGCCATGGACGCCTTCTCCTCCCCTAGGTCGTAAAGTTAAGGTGAGATTTCAGGCTGTACATCGAATCTCAAAGTGTCTTGAGGCCTCCTAGACCTTCACAAAGGTGCTCTGCACATCGGTAAGTCTGCTTGTCATCATCGGCGTAGCTGAGTGTCGAGCTAAGCGACGAATGTGGAAACAGGAGGCATTTACAGCCCTACACACTCTCCTTTTTCACGGTTGGCACCAGCATTTTTTAAAATTATCCCACGACAAGTCGGTCGAATGACGTCATTGTTTAATTTTATGATTGAATTTTGGCGGTCATTTAAATCGCGCTAACCAATCAAGAGTCTTGGATTTTGTTCAAACGTCATTTCGTAGCATCTTTTAATACACTTTCTAACCTTAGTTGAAAAAATGCTTTTTAATAAATTTGTTTGGCCAAATGTTAATTGGTTTTATAGAATAATGTATGTCTTTCAAGTAGATCTTTGTTTTACCATCAAAAGTGCCGTTATATAAATGCCATCAGCATAAATTTCGAAAAAAATATATACAATTTCTGCCTACAAAGTTCTCCTTCAAGGCAGTCCAGTAAATAAACACTTTGATTTGCCTCAATCCCTAAAATGTCAAAGTCGTCAAAGGTCCGGATATAAGCTGAGTGATCTGTAAGATTATCCATAATTTAAAACCTCATTATTGCAAAAATGAAATGTCATTTCGTGTACACATCGTTGGGATAAAGTGAGTTATTCGACCTTCTTAATTAAGATTTGCCTCACTAGTACAAAGAAGCAAACCTTCCTCCACTCCTCTTCACCTTGGCAAACAAATGTGCTTCGCCACCCAGTGGAGAGGCGACTGTCCTCTCTTGTTTACTCATACGCGTGCACGGCTGACCTTCTGACATGACTCCGGAAGGGGAGGCAGGGAGCGATGACTCATCCGCATCGCACCTTCTTCCCCTTCAAGGCTGACCAACGTGGAGACAGGCATTGGAACGACGTGTTTATGACCGTTGGTGCGGCAAGACAGGCGAAGATAAGATGTGATAGAAAAAAGTACGAGTTTAAGATACACCGAGGTCAAAGTGCCTTCTGAGGTTATGACCCCGACTATGCGAGCGTTGAGGTCATGGCTTGCATCAGTTTAAAATGTTACCCAAACAATTGTAAGCCTAATGCAGTCCGCTTAAGGTCACTCCCTTCAGCATTGCATTAATGAAGAAGAAAATACAAAACAAAACAAATCGTCTCCACACATGAGCCCTCTTCTTGTCACGACAGCTGTCTTGGTGACATGGATTTTGCAGGCAGTGCATAATACTTGTTAAGGAAGTATCAAGCATGCACATTGTAGCCTCACAGGCTGATCCTAGACTGGTGATTGTTTGGATAAAAAGAGATCAACACTTCGTCTCACACAGCGCAGGTAAAGGCGAGCGAAATGGTAGGTGCAGTCCGTCCACCTCAACACCACTAGACCTTTAAGCAATTTTCGCCTTTTTTCACCAAATATGGCGACTGCTAGATGATAATGGACTTACAATTTGGGAAAAAAGAGTGACAGTTAAATGGATTGTTCATAATTTGATACGGTTGACAACTTGAGTGTTAACTTCTTAAGGGTTGACTAGGCAAATAAGACGCACCAGTCAAACAGCAATTTGGGTACGTTTGATAAAGAATGAAAATAATAAAAAAATTTTTTTTGCATAGTCAAAATGAGGTCTCTGGACTGGAAAACTTATTGAAATGGTTTGCTGGGCTTCAATCCACGAATTGCATTTCCCTCTTCCAACGATCGAACAATGAATGAAGAGAAATTGGAGCTGTGAGACATCGTTTATGCGACTATCAGTTGGAGTGGCGGTCTCTTTGTTATTCTACTTTCTCACGGAGGCTTGAGGTGGTCTTCCAACCAATCCACATTTCATTTTTCTCTTCCCTTTCCTGAGTTTTGCATTTTTCTTCCAGCAAAAAAGCCGACTCCGCTTTGTTTTCACTTCGTCTTGATATCCATTTTTTGTGACAAGCGTCTGCACAGCGTAGAAGAGAACGTACTTTCGACTGAGGAATTTCGCACTTCTCGACAACCAAAGGAGTGAGAATAATTTCTGTGTTTGGCATCTGTCCCATCCCCGTGTTCCTTTGGCAAGCTACTAACGAATGAAACAACACTCCCATGAACCACCTGGAAAAGTTCGGATTCGGAGTTCCTCCAACAACGTCCCCGATTAAATATCAGCGATGATACTACGATGAACGCGCTTCCACACAAAATTGTGTTTACTACCGTTTTCTGTGTCATGAATCCGTCTCCACGATCTTGTCCTGTTCCAACAGTTAGGCGAATCGTAATTGCAGCTCCCGTAAAAGCTACTGAGAGGATCAAGTCCATTCTCTCAGTACTACACCCACTGATGACTAACGCGGTTGGCTGGGGAGGAATTTTATTTTTGCAGCATCAAAAGCGTTATGATGGCTGCCACAGAAGGGGTTCGGAAGAGAGAGCCAATGACGTCACTTGAAAGATGAGAGGCACAAGGTAACACATTGTTTATTTGACCATCTGTATGACTAACGTTCACTTAGGTATTTTAATTTGCATTAACCTGCGCGAGCTGTGAATCGGACTGGATCAATCCCCAGAATACATGTATTCATTTTAACTTAATGGCCGAGCCTACGTGCTGGTAACTCAGGAGAGGTTGCAAGGGTACTAAAGGTATAGAGCAATTATATTTATTTGGTGATGCAGGGATTTTCATTTTGCTTCGACACATAACAGTTGCCAGTGTTGATGGAATTGGATGATATATTTCGCTAATTTGGCTACCCGGATGAGTGGCGGCCAGCTGAGCATTTGTCTTGCTCTTGAACTCGTGGAATGGACTTTGAGCCAAGCTAAAGACCGACCTTTCAATCCTTATTACGACTCCGTTCTATGAAGCGGGAAACCTCAAAATGCTATATTAGATGCGGTGGCATCTAAGGGTCCAAATAATTGGGAGGTAACAAACCGAGACATTCCACTAGGTAGAACAATACATGTATTCCAGGAGGAGAAGAGGGGATTAGATATTAGCTTGACTTAAACGCTTGCCAACGCGCACAAGAGCAAGATTAATACCCCAGTAGCCGCCATACATTGTCCCTCCCTCATTTGTGTCGACGTCAGCTGTCCTCCTCCTCGAACACCTCCCACGCCTGCCATCATAACATATTCGCCAGTCGTCGATTACCATGATTGTGAGAGACTTTACTTGGCCTTCCGTGCAGCTTTAACTATATGTGGAGTTATGCTTGTTGCAAGAGGGTAAGAATCGTAGGGAAGAATTTTGCTAACCGCTAATCATGTCCAGAACTAGGCAGAGGTGCACGGGTTCGAACAGTTCTAAATGAAAAAGAATCCACTGTTGAGCTAGCCCGGATTCTATACGCTGAAGGTTATTTGAATGCGAAACTTTTCCAGACGTGCCACGGCGATGTCGTTTCAGTAGTTAACATCTTATCTGTGCAGCACAGAAATAAGAAGTCAAACTCAGCTATTATTCTCCTGACCGATTTCTATTTGCTTCCTATAATACTTTGATTTTCGTTATTACCTGACACCTAGCGTTTATTCAAGATCCATTTAACTCTTATGCAAGTGAGCTGGCCTTCGGGCCAAGATCAGGCTTGATCCTTTTTCTCTTCCTAGAATACATGTATTCAGCTCCACATACTACCATCTGCGGGGTGGGAAGACCCCGAGGCTACACTTCATTTGCACCGAAGTTATGCTTCATAAAGGGTGGACACTAGTGTAGCGTCCCAAGATTTCTCACCCGGCAAAGGAAGACAGATAGGGGAGCTGTATTGCAAGGAAAACAAAGCAACTAAGGCTGAGCATGGTCCGAAGACAAGCCCACGAATACATGAGCCAGAGAGTTCCTAAAGTGACCGCCATTACAAACAGGATGAAAGTCGTTATAGATTATCGGGTTTGCATTCCACTGTAGCCAAAATAGCGGTTTGCAAGCTCTCGTCAAATGGTGAAGAATAGAATGTTTTTGGCATGGCGCAGAGAGTACGTCACGCAGAAAAGCATGGCAGGTAAGAGAGTAGCTGGCGGACATACCAGTGGTTGTATAAGCAAAGTACTGCAATAAATGATACTATAACACTGATATAATAAATATAAAATCATCCATGTTATTAATTTTTCTGTTTGAAACGCTGGGATGTTTTCATAGAAGCCGCTGCGTTTAAACTTCCACAACTACCTTAAGTGAGTCTACACTGCAATGCCAATTTGAATTTCTGTCTTTGCGGGAACAGTTAATCCAAGGAAATCTTTCGCATATTTTACTATTCCTAAGTGATAGTTAAACAAAACTCATCCATTCGAGATGCACAACAACTTAAGATAGACACAATAAAGTTGCGTGGCCTTTAACTATGTGCCTTCAATTACATAAAGGCTTTATTATGCTATAACGCATAGGTTTAAATTTCTCCTTTCCGACAGGTTATAAAAGGCGATATTTCGAAGTCGAAGGTCACTCGTTTGGCGCTGATATCGTTGAGCAGCGTTCTTGTTTGCACAAGTTGAAGTAAGTGATTGCTTGACGTGTCATTAATTTTGCACCTTCTTATGGATAATAAGCTTTCTTGGTCTCTGTGTAGCTAACATGCACTAAATGTCAACTTCATTTTACTCGATATCATTAACTTGCAAATTTGGAAGGTGTCAAAACACCTTACAGATATATTTTTATCCTTTTTATAACTTGGCGTAATGTTGGATAAAATTCCCTTTTTTGTTATGGGTTTTTGGCTGATTATTCACTGTTGTATTTTTTCTCATTGAAATCGCTGCTGCACTTTAGTCTTGAGTCTATCAAATATTTCAATGCCTAAAATTCTTATTTTATACAGCTATACCAATTTGACATGCACAGAGGAGTAAATATATGCAATCCATATGTTCCATCCATGGGTGTGGATGTGCTTTACCATGTTGGTTTGGCCACTGACACAACGGATCTCAAGAAACAGTTTGGGGATGTAAAGGTAAGAAGCGCCCTTCCCATCTTTAGCGAATACAACTTCGCTAGTTCGTTATAATGGGTGGTAGTCCGAAGAGAATGAAAAAAATCGCAGAAATCCTTCTCAAGGAGCTCGATATCCAACTTCCATGCGGCACTGGTCTTGCTAATATTGCATGCACTACTGACCGTTACGAGATGTACAAAGTCGGACCCATTCTATCCGTCTCTGTGCGTCCCTTTTATAGCCTCAAGTTAAGAGGAAATCATAAACTTCTTCCATTATTTTGTTTCATTTTGCTTCAGCACGGCATGGGAATCCCTTCCATTTCCATTCTTCTCCATGAAATGGCTAAATTGCTTTATCATGCCGGTTGCCAAGACGTTCGTTTTATTCGTCTGGGTACCTGTGGTGGAATCGGTGAGCTATTTCCACATAAAAATGCAAAACAACCTAAAATATTCTCTTTAGTGGATGCTCCTTTATTTCGTATTTTTAGGTCTCGAGCCCGGCTCTGTTGTCATTACTACAAGTTGTCTTGACTGTGCTTTCAACGACTACTTTCAACTTGTTCGTTTTGCGTCTTTCGTTTTCTTTGTTGGCTCACACCTCTTGCACTTCTTGACTGTCATGAGTATTCTCTTGCAGAAAATTCTCGGTAAGACGGTGAGACGACCAGCTCATTTGGATGAACATTTCGTGAAAGAGTTGATCGAAACTGCCAGATCTATGAAACTCGATTTTAATGTTGTTTCTGGGAAAACGATGTGTGCTGATGACTTCTATGAAGGTACTATCATTTGTCGACTTGGTGTCGATTGTCATATACGCATTTTGATTTGGGTGTCACCACGATCTGAAATTCGCCTGTCAGCCGGCTCCGTCATCATTATCTCATTCCTTTGAAAATTTTGCACGAAAATTTACACCACACCCTAGACCAAGTTGCTTTCTCGTAGCATCTCACGCAAGACACACTTGTCGTTGTTGCTGCGTCAACTTCTCATGGAGCCTCTCCTCTCGAGGGGATCGATTTCGGGCTTGAGGTCTTTTGTTGCCCCCTTAATAGCATACTTGAGCCAATAAAAAGCTCCTGCTAGGGTACTACAAAAAGCAGATGTTAATATCCTCACCAAAAGGCCATCTTACATTTGTTTTATTGCTCTGTGATTAGCCAATCAAGTCACCACACAGCATCGTCTTGTCATCAATGGTGGGAGGAGGGGGAGCGGAAGGAGAAGGAACTCCAAATTTTTGAAGTCACCGAGTTACTTTTACCATTATTGTAGAACAAGGACGTCTAGATGGGGCAATTTGTGAATACACCGAAGAAGAGAAGATGGCATTCCTCAAAAAAGCCTACGATAGCGGAGTTCGTAATCTCGAAATGGAGTCGCTCGGTTTTGCCGCCTTTTGTCAGCACTTAAAAATAAAAGGTGAGAGAGGAGTAAGAGGTTGACAGCAAGACTGTCGAATTCGACTTCTTTCTTTGAGATGATTCCCTTGGTGTTTTTTAGCTGCCGTGATATGCGTGACCCTTGTGAATCGTTTGGTGTCGGATCAAATCTCAACTCCAGTTGATGTGTTGCATGCATGGCAAGAGCGACCACTGGAGATACTCATCAACTACATCAAGAAGCAAATGTGATACCTCGATAGCTCCATTTTCACTTTGCTAATCGGCTTTATGTACCAGTTTACTTGATCGTCTGGCATTTAGTAAAAAATGTTCTGGAATTACTGCAGATGCTTGGCAAAGCATTACTCTTTCGCCCCCCCTTCCCCCGGGTATCCATGCTAAGCTGAGTGGAGAGAAAGGAAACATGAAGAACCTCATTTATAAATTCAGAGTGAGTCTACCGATGTGAGACTCCCTTCCTCCAGCCAGAGCGCTACAAAGACAATAAAATGCCTTTTTATATGTGTCTTGTGATTCTCACCTACAGGTTTTTTTTAAACAAGTTCGGTAACAATGAATGAGTCCCACCCACTCATACTCTAACCATCGACAATAAAATCACGTGAGTTATTGGATTAGAAAATGGTGTTTTCTCAGTTAATCAAACGTATTAACTTTGAAGGATTGCATGTTTTTGTTGCCCGTGCAAAAGAATTGAAATCTGGTGCATTCAAGGGTTTAAAGCTCGAGCATTTCCGACAGGAGGCACCGAAAGGGTGGGAGGGGAGGTTGAGACCTTTCAAATCGGACAAAAGCAGTGAGGTGCTGCAGGAGGAAGGCGGGTCATGGCATTGACTCATTTTCTACATTCCCCTATTGCTTCTTTTGTCGTTCATTTTCACCAACTGTTTTAATTTAGTGGGAGGAATTGTGGCTTGAAGCCTTTTGTGATTGTCTTACAAATGATCTTGCAGTAATAGTCGTTGTGTGAGACATTAACTTGGAATACATCTAATTATCTTTGACAGTGAGTTCAAGATTAGGGGGTATTAAGTTCCCTCCTATCCCCTCCCCATCGTCTCACTGTGCACATTTTATCAAAAGAGATCTGATGTGCGGGCCTAGAGGACAGTCTGGCCATGTGAAAGGGGATCCAGACGATTCCTGTCCAAAAATTCCTTCACTGATCACCGTATTGTAGATGTAGACTCACATTTTCCATAAAAGAAGAGACGAAACAGCACTGTAGTGAGCCACTTGTCAATCGGATCATTGCGTGACATTGATATTCAAGCAATTAAAGGATGCTAGGGGGCAAATGCGGTGCCGTAATCTAAAAAATTACCTCTTTTCCTCACAATATGGAATTTTTACCAACTTCGCAGAATAAGTTTTTTTTTCTTAAGCCCCTTTGGTATTCTTGTTGATCTAATCGCCGTTGGTGTGTGCGGTTACCTCTCTACTGTACTTCAGTGTGTGCTATGACCTTCATCATTGAGGAGGGTGTGTTGGCACCTTTTAACTTCCTCTTTGATACACCACGCACTAACATCACCGAATCGGATCATACAGCGGCAATGGGTGGGGATTGAAGAGAAGGCCGCATTTTGTTTACACGTTTTCTTAGGTCTAAATTGTTTCTAATCTAAACGTTCAATCTACCCATATTACAAAATGTGGACTTCTACGAGCTGGAGCGCATAAATGATCCAAATTGATGGATGTGGAGATTTCGGTGAGATTGGTTATTTCTTCAATAGCACTGTGCGCTTCTCTGACTTTGAATTAACCAATCCAAACACTTGAAGGTCTGTCACCGACCTAATGGGTGGTGCCTCGCCCCGCCCTACCGCTCAGAGTAGTCTGTTTTGCAAGCATTCCAAATCACGTCTCCACATAAGCAAGGATCTAAGGGACTCACAATTTACGTCATTGTCATGAGTCATTATGGAGTGTTTCAGTTTCCTAATTTCTTAAGTAATAAAAAGGTCACCTTCACCACTGCCTCCTGAACTCATGCGCCAATCGGATTTGACGTGCCAAATATTGGTCGAGAGAAGCCTCCCCCGAAATTGGCTATAAATTTGGTAAAGTTGTCATCTACAGTAAGGTTTGACAAGTCGTGCTGTTGTTCTCACGCGTTTAATGCAGGTTGACGGCATTTAACTTGTCCAAAAATGTTGAGTTAACTTGAGCCGATTTAGCTGCAACCTCAGACGAGGACACCTTTGGCACAACTCAAGGTTAGATCTGCCAAATGTAATAAAATAATCAGCTTAGGTGATTGATCTGAGCCTATCAAATGACCTTAGGAGAGATGATGTTGTTGCGCGCACTCAGATGTTTGTCTCGCTCGGTGCAGCAATGTGCTTATACCAATCGGTTAATCTATTCCGCAGTTGTCATAATGGACAATCTTTTGCATAATGGATCGCACGAACAACAATAGGTGGCAACAATGCAATCAAATCTTAGGATAGGAAGAAAGCCGGAAGACCTTGCCTTTAATAGAAACGAGGGTGTGTGGAGCATAAAAAAGACTGGTCAAATTTACATTGAAGATGATAAAACTTAAGCAATTTGATCTTTTGATGGCCGTCCAACTGTCTTTAGGGGTGCCTTTAGTAAGCTTTTGACCTAATAATTAAAATCAGTTGTAGTGGAGATAGGTGAGCTAAGTGAAATGTGGACGCTGATTTACATTTCAGTAGCGAGCGCCTAATAAGTTGAATAAGTGCAATGAGCAGTCTATGTTTATACGTGATAAGCATTTCGAACAACTTACCATCTGAAATTTTCACTACCGATGAGAAACATTGACTAACTCAAAGAAGTCTGTAATTATGAAGACATCAGTGTCAAGCATTAACCATACTTTTCGCCTCAATCCCTTAGTTGCAATAAGCTCACCATAGGTATCCGAAATAAATTAGATAAAAGGCTACTAAAATGCTCACGGCAATTTTATCACTAGCTGCATAAGACCGCCCACTCTAGATTATTCTCGCTGCCAGGTTTTCGTAAAGCACACGTAAATCACTGGGTTTCTGAGGTGACAATTATGCAATATGAACCGCTCTAGAGGGCATTAAATTGAGGCTTAGGGACAGAGTAGCATGCAGCATAATTAGAGAGCCATATTTTGGCCATAATTAGGGAGAAACTTGTATAAAAGATGTGCCTTTACTTAGAACAGGCATCCTTCGTATGAAATACACAATGCGCTCCCAGATTAAAACCCTTCCCAGTATTATTTTCAAAATGGTCATGACACTTTATTTGAATTTGACTTCAAAAATTCATGCAAGATGCGCATGCTACTATTCGATCAAAGTAGAGAAGGTCTAGGTGAAGTAATAGTAACTGATTTTTTTTAAGTTTTTATCGTCAACATATCTTATTATTGTTGGGAAGTTGTGAAACAGGCTGTAAAGAATATCCTTGTATTTCGTCCTCATGTCTTATTCGTTTGTCACCAAAACTTGCCCCAAGGTGTCAACATAAATTCGGACCTTCATCACTACCAATTCTTCAAAAAATACAAACTAATACTAAAGATGATAGCCAATATGCTGGATTGGGTTCTTTTTCTACCTCACAGTTTCACGACTTTACCTGTGTAGTCATTGGTGGTTTCCTGAGTGAAGGCAATTCTCCTGCCACACCCAAAATGGTGCCGGATGTTCTGCGTTCTTTAAGGGTACTAGCACAAGCACGCATTCTGGGAATAGTTAATGTGCGGAGTGCAGTTCATCAGATAGGGAGCACCCACGATGATTGGTCAGCCTTCTGACAACGGAACATATATATAAGGCGGAATTGGGGCTGGTTTCCACAGCCCATGGACAGTTAAGTGACATGGCTGAGGAGATTTTATTTGTTTCATTGCTCTGAATAGCTTAATGTTGCAACATTAAAATAAAGGGGTGTGTTGTAACAAAATTGGACTTCACTGAAAAATCATTGTGCTACTTGGCCCGTCAAACAGCTACGATGTTTTGAAAAAAAAAAAACGGCAGCATTGATTATCCAAGGCAGTTATAGTTTTAGACACTAAAACGCGATAGGATCTCTCTTAAGGTCGGTGTGTATTTTAAATCTGCATAAAAAATGCTTAAGACGATATAACACCCACATGGCGAACCACAAATTAAACTTATCACTCATGCCATCGCTTTCATTGCGTCGTCCGCTGAGAGTTGCCACATCAACACAATCGACTTCGGTTTATTTGACCTAAACTACTTTTATCCCATCGGGCCTAATCCGCTCCATGCTGTAGGCTCAACTGTCAGGAGCGAAGATCGGTGATGGCCATCGACTTTTACGCAGTAGTCTTTCCATCTGATTGCAAATATGGCTACTAAAATTTGGTAGTAAAACCAAATCATGTGGAGTTAGGGCGTATTACGAAGAGGTGCACAAAACAGTGACAGTAAATAGATTGAGTGGATTATTGTTACTGACAATAACTTATTCCAATAGGTATCATCCGCTGGCCTGGAAATTCCGCAGCTTCAAAAATGTAATACAGTTAATTTTTGTTTGAATGCGAGTGTTTAAAAGGTGGGAAACGGAGCTTCACATTAAAGATTGCGCCCTCTTGCGATGTCGAATGCGAAGCATGCTAGTAAAGTGTGTCGTGAGGAAACGTCAGGGTCGGGGAATGGAGTCAGATATAATGTTGTAAAATAAAGCGTATTTTATCATTTGTGAACGTGAGAGCGGTCAGTTGCCTAAATGGCATTAGTTCTTGAGACTGGTTATTTAAAGATGGAATTTGTCCTACCAGAAATTATACTGCCTCCTAAATACATTTTAATGCCAAATTCTACGTTGGCAGATTTGTTAATAATTGTGCTGACACTTTACGGGCTAAAATTTACTGAATAACAATCCAATATATGTTAAGTTGCTTTTATAGGGCAGAGGGAGTTGGTTTATTCAAAACGCTTGTTCGTTTTAAAGAACGCGAAGAGCCTTCCATGGCGAAACGCCAGACCGTCGTCTTATTTACGGTCACACTCCCTCCTCTTTTGTAAATCCTCTTATAAAGCCAGAGGTGCAGGTGTCTATGAATAGACTTAAAAGTCCTACACTGCTGGCGGCTTAAGTTGACATTTCACCCTTGAAAGCTGATATGGATTTTCTCTTCCCAAAGGCTGATCCCGAGCCCTGCGATCCCGCTCATACAGTCCTCTTGCTGCTTAGCGCCTTACCGTATGGCCCACGCTGCGAGCCAATGGATG